GCCCATCCTGTCGAAACGGCTCTGGGTGGTTTACCAAACGGTTAAAATCAATTAAAACTACAAAATTGCAATTACTATTCATGAATAGAAAATAAATAGATCCAAGAATAAGTGTATCCCGTCTCTCAGGGAGCGGCACCAAGGCGCCAGCCGCCCCCAGCCTGGGTGAGATTGTAAGAGAGGGATGGGGGGGGGGGGGGGGAGAGACCAGACTTCGTTCAGCCTCCTCCAGGCAAATTCCCCACCTGTCTTCCTCCACCCACCTTGGCTAAGAATCCACCTTTGATCCCCAGCAGGGTTTCTCCACCTGCCCCCTTGAAGATGGGTGGGCTTCAATTCCCAGGACTTGCAGTGGCTTCCTCCAAGACAGGCTGGGCGTCGCCGGCTCATACAGGTGGCAGGGAGCCAATCAGGGTTCCTGGGAGAATCAAGCAGAGCCAGGCAGGAAGCTCAGGCAGGCTGAACCAGTCTCTTTGCATTCTAAAATTCTGTTTAGCACAGTCTGATTGTTCAAACAACGCCGTTAGACTGCAAAAAATCATCATCATCATCATCATCATCATCATCATCATCATCATCATCATCATCATCATCATCCATGGCTATTTTTATAAGAAAAAGCAAAGGAAGGGGCGAGAAATAAAACTACAGTACACAGAACTAGTGTTTACTTTACACCAGTGTTTCTCAACCTTGGCTGCTTGAAGATGGGTGGACTTCAGCTCCCAGAATTCCCCAGCTGGGAGTTGTTCACACATCTTAAACTTGCTGAGGTTGAGAAGCGCTGCTCTACACGATCGGTCTCTACGGCAGAATTCTGTTTAATGCCATAAAGCTGTGTTTCTCAACCTTGGCCCCTTTAAGACTGTGGAGCCCCCAACCATGGCTGGCTGGGGAATTCTGGGAGTTGAAGTCCACACGTCTTAAAGCGGCCAAGGTTGAGAAACAGTACATTAGAGGAAAGGGTAAGGAGAAAACCCACTTCTTGGGTGCCATCCCAACAGGGGTTCATAGCGGGTCCTAAACTGTGACGCTTTGGAAAACTTTTAAAAACCCACGGCTGGGTTCAAGCAAAATGCGAACCCCCATTGCAAGGTTTGCAGCGTGGTGCCCTGTGATTGCTTCAGGAAGCCTCAGCAAAGCAACTATATATTTATATATTCATTTATTTTTTATTATTTCATTTATTTTTTATTATTTCATTTATTATTATTTATTATTTTTGTTTTGTGCTATACAGAGGCCGTTTTCTGACTCCGACTGCAGCCGTCTATTACTGGAGGGTGCCTTCGATGCACGCGCTTTGAAAGCCTCCCGCCAAAGAAGCAGGTCCCCTCTGCATTTCCTATCTCCCGCGTCCACTCCCCGGAAAGCCTCCGACGGAACGCTCTTCCGGCTTCACGCGCCGCGGGGATACCTGGGAACTGTAGTCCGCCTGGCTGGCGAAAGCTGATGCAGCAGTGCGCTCGGGCGTCCCGCTGCGGCTTCTCCTCCCGGCGGCTCGCAGGTACGTGGGGAGCGGCGGCGCACGGACCCAGGTCTCCCCCCACCCAGGCTGGGGTGCGTGCAGCGTCCCCCCAGATTGCAGCTGAAGCTCCCGCTGCAGAAACAGGGGCGGACCCGGGACTGTTGCAAGCCAGCCAAACGGGGGTCCTGCTGAAGTCCACCCATCTTCAAGCTTCAACAAGTTGGGGAGGGGGTCGAATAAGGATTTAAACACCCCCCCCCTTTTGTTTTCCTCGCCTCGCCCTTCCTCAAGGTCATTTTTTTCTCCATGCACTTTGCCCTGTAAGGAAAGGGAGGGGTGGAAAAATGCACCCATTGCAAACGCTCGTTCGTGGGGAGCGGCTCGTTTTTCTGCGCGAAAGGAAAAGTTGGGGTCCGTTTTATCCCGCCTTCCTGGAATTGCATGATGCTTCCTCCCACCAGGGATGGATCCCACTCTTTGACGCCTTCCTTGGCCACCACGAGGACTAGAAACTTGTTTTCTTCAAAAAAAGTAGCAGCAGTTGACGTTCCCAGAAGGGAACGGGGTAGTCCTGCCTTCTGCACCTGGGGTTTTGCAGCCCAACTCTGGAAAAAAAGTGTTTCTCAACCTTGGCAGCTTGAAGATGGGTGGACTTCAACTCCCAGAATTCCCCAGCCAGCCATG